TTTTTTTTTTTTTTTTTTTTGTCTTTTTTCGGGACCGGCAACGGGATCGCAACCCTCGGTGTTGCTCCCACACCTCGCTCAGCCAGTGAGCGGGAACCGGTCTGTATGTGGGATCCGAACCCTCGGCGGGAGCGCCACCACACTCCCAAGCAGCGCACTGTAGCAGTGCGCCACCGGGCCGGCCCTCTTTGCCACTTTATAACAAGGATCACCTTTCCTCCAGTTTCCAATAACATGTTCCCTGTTCTCATCAGAATTGTTCATATTTTTACCAACATTCTCATCACAACCACTTGAGTAATCTCTAGGAAGATTGATGCTTTCTCTACAGCTCTTCTCTTCTTCTGAATCCTCACTAGTCACCCTTTACAGTCTGTTCATGGCAGTGTAGGCTTTTTCTAGCTTTCTCCTCTTCCAGCCTCTGCCTTTTACCTAGTTCCAAAGCCACTTCCACATTTTGAGATACTTGTTACAGCAATACTCCACTTCTCACTACCACTTTCTGTCTTAGTCCATTCAGGCTGCTATAGCAAATACCCTAGACTGGGTAATTTATAAATAACAGAAATTTATTGCTTACAGTTCTGGAGCCTGGAAAGTCCCAAGATCAAGGCTCCAGGAGATTTGATGTCTGGTGAGGGCTCACCCTCAGCTTCTTAATTGTGCCTTGTTGCTGTGTCCTCACATGGCAGAAGAGTCAAGGCAGCTCCCTCCAACCTCTTTGTAAGAGCACTAATCCCATACAGGAGGGCAGAGTCCTTGTCATCTCCCAAAAGGCTTTGCCTCAATACTATCACATTGGGTATTAGGTTCCAATTTGGAGGGGACACCAACTTTCAGACCATAGCACTATCTTTGTGCAAGGACCGGGAGAAAATATGAGGAATGAAAGAAGTTGTGATAGAGTTACCATTAATTTGTTTTTACTTTCAAGAAACTTCTCTCTTTCTTTAATAACATCCTTTCAATTAAAAAATATACTATCTTTGTTTGAATTTGTTGGGGAGGAAAAACTTTCCCTCTACCCTTTTAAGTTCAGTGTTCGGTGGCCAACAAATTAAACTGACAAAAGACATATTAGCAAGAGGAAAGACAGATTTTAATCACAGCCATATGAGTTCACAAAAATGTGACTCAAAAAGGTGGCTTGGGGCTGGCCAGTTGGCTTAGTTGGTTAGAGCATGGTGTTATAACACAAGTGTCAAAGCATTCAGATCTCCCTACTGTCCAGCTACCAAAAAAAAAAAAAAACAAACCAGTGGCTGGAATTTGGGGCTTATAGGGAAGGGGATGGGCAGAAAGGCACTTAGGGGAACACAGATGGCTTCATAATAGGGGAAGTGGGGAGGAGGGAAAGAGCGTTTATGGAAGTAGGCCCTGAGGAGCATAGATGGGAGACTTGATTGTTTTGTGACAGTGTCTGTTTAGGTGTGCTGCCGACTTCTGGTTATTCTTGGGGAGGGGATTTTATGACAATTGAGTTCTTCTGATTTTGGACATATAAGAGATTTTAGGAACTCTAATGCTTTCAGCTCAAAATAATTTTTTGGTTATCGGGTTGTATTCTGGCCTTGGTTTCACAGATTCTAAATATATATATATATATTTTTTTTTTTTTTGCATATTTGGTGATTTGACACCTTAGATATAATGCTTGTTTTAAGTTAGTAGCAAATGATGTATGAAGGGGAAAGGAGGCATTATTCCTATAGCATCTCAAATGTAAAGATTTTGATATTTAGAATTAGATTTTAAAAATAATTTTGTATTTTCTTTCTTAAAAAATTTTTTGGTGGCTGGACAGTACGGCGATCCGAACCCTTGACCTTGGTGGTGTTATAATACCACACTCCAACAAAGTGAGCTAACCAGCCAGCCTGCGTATCTTCTGATTCTTTATAGGTGAAAAAAATGCCAACTAGAAAAGAAAACAATGAAAAATGCTTTTTCAGAATATAAGCACATTATATAATCATTCAAAACCTTATAATGCATAAAAGTTAGAAGAAAATAACAATTAGTGCTTAATCCCACTTTTGAAAGACAAACCACTTGTATAGTTTGGTGAGCCTCCTTCTGTTTGTTTTTCCATTTTCTCGTAGTGATCCACACTGAATACATAACTGTGCATATTGCTGCCGTCTCCAGCACAACATGTCTTTTCCCAAGCCATTAAGAACTTTTGTAAACAGCATTTTTATTGGTTGCCTAACATCCCATTTGATGAATGTGACTTAGATTGTCCAACCACAGCCTAAATTTGGGTTTTTATGCTTTCTTTGTTCTTTGCCCATATAATGTGGCAGTGAACATAACTGGGTGAAAAAAAAAACTTTTTCTGTACTTTGGCCTATTTTAGGTTTCTAAAACTGAGATCAATGAGTTGAAAGGTATGAATATTTATAAGGCTTTTCGTCAAATTAATTTCCTAAAGGGCTATCCATTATACTATTTCACTGGCACTGAGGCCGAGTGTCCTGCGAACAAATGTTAAAAATGTAAAAAATCACTTTAGTTCTGGAATTTATCTTGCTTTATTCTGTTTTTCTTTTTGTTCCTCTTCCTGACACCAACCTGGGCTCACACATTACCTTTCATTGACTTATGTCTTCTTCAGTCTCTCTTAACCTAGAGCAATTTGGAGGGTGGGGTGGATTTTGTCTCCTGGACGGCATTTGGAAATGTCTGGAGACATTTTTGATTGTCACAATTGAGGGGGTTCTGCTGGCATCTAGTGAACAGAGGCCAAGGGTGCTGCTGAACATCTTAAATTACACAGGACAGCCCCGCAGCAAAACCTGTCTGCCCGATGTCAGTGGTGCAAGGTCTAGAACAGTCCTTCTACTAGTTCTGTTTATTGACATTGACTTTTTTAAAAAAGTTGAAGTCAAAGTCACCTAACATAGAATTAACCATTTTAATTCTTTATTTTTGTGTGTGTTTGTGTGTGTGGCTGGCCCGAGTGGGGATCTGAAGAATTAACCATTTTAAAATGTGAAAAATTCAGTGACATTTTGTATTTCCATAACATTGTTCAACTACCATTTCTTTTTAGTTTCAAAAGTTTTCTTCACCCTAGAACATCCTGTACCCATTAAGAAATCCCTCCCCACACCTGCATCCCCCAATCCCTGGCAACCACTAATCTACTTTCTGTCTCTATGAATTTGCCTATTTTGGACATTTCTTAGAAATAGAATAATACACTACGTGGGCTTTTGTGTCTGGCTTCTCTCACTCAGTGTAGTGTTTTCGAGGTTCATCCATGTTAGCATGTGGCCGTACTTCATCCCTTTTGATGGCTGAATAATATTCCATTGTGGCTATATCACACTTTGTTTATCTATTCACCAGTTGATAGAAATTTGGATTGTTTCCACCTTTTGGCTGTAATGCTGCTTTATGTATTCATGTACAAGTTTCTTTGTGGACATATGATTTCATTTCTGTTGGTATAAACCTAGGATTGGAATTGCTTGGTCCTGTGGTAATTCTGTGTGACCTTTTTGAGGACCTGCTGTATTCTACAGTAGTTGTTCCAATTACTACACATCCTCATCTATACTTATTTTCTGATTTTTTAAAATTGTAGCCCTCTTAGTGGGTATGAAATGGCATCTCATTGTGGTTTTGATTTGCATTTCCCTGATGACCAAGGATGCTGAGCATTTTTTCATGTGCTTGTGGGCCATTTGTATATCTTCTTTAGAGAAATGTCCATTTCAAACTGGTTATTTGGGGCTGGCCCGATGGCGCACTGCTACAGTACGCCGCTTGGGAGTGCGGCGGCGCTCCCGCTGAGGGTTCGGATCCCACATACAGACCGGTTCCCACTCACTGGCTGAGCGAGGTGCGGGCGCAATGCCGAGGGTTGCGATCCCGTTGCCGGTCCCGGTCCGGTGCGGGCGCGACACTGAGGGTTGCGATCCGTTGCCGGACACGAAAAAAGACAACAACAAAAAAAAAAAACCTGGTTACTTGTCTTTTTATTATTGTGTTGTAAGAATTCTTCATATATTTTGGGTATCTTATCAAATTCATAATAAGCAAATATGTCCTCCCATTCTGTAGGTTGTCTTTTCACTTTCTTTTTTTATTTTTTGGTGGCTGGCCAGTACAGGGATTGAACCTTGGATCTTGGTGATATCAGCATCATGTTCTAACCAGATGAGCTAACCATCTAGCCTCACTTTCTTCATAGTGTCTTTTGGCACAAAACGTTTTACTTTTGATTCAGTACAATTTTTTTTTTTTAATTTGTTGTTTGTCTTTTGGAGTAACATCTAAGAATACTGTTTTCTTTAATTTCTTTTAACAACATTGTAGAGTTTTCACAAGTCTTTCACCTTCTTGGTTAAATTCATTTCTAGGTGTTTTATTTTTTATTTATTTATTTATTTATTTTGTCTTTTGTCTTTTTTCCGTGTCCGGCAACGGATCGCAACCCTCAGTGTTGCCCCCGTACCGGACCGGGGACCGGCAACGGGATCGCAACCCTCGGTGTTGCTCCCGTGCCTCGCTCAGCCAGTGAGCGGGAACCGGTCTGTATGTGGGATCCGAACCCTCGGGCAGGAGCGCCGCCACGCTTCCCAAGCGGCGAACTATCCAGTGCGCCACCGGGCCGGCCCGTAGGTGTTTTATTTTTTGGAGGCTTTTGTAAACGTAGTTGCTTTCTTAACTTCCTCTTTGGATTATTTATTGCTGGTGTGTAGAAAAAACAATTTTTGTGTGTTGACCTTGTACTCTGCAACTTTGCTGAATTCATGTATTAGCCTTGGTAGTTTTTTGGTGGATTCTTTGGGATTTTCTATATGTGGGATCATGTCATCTGCTGATAGAGATAGTTTTACATCTTTCTTTCTTTTTTTTTTTTTTTTTTCCTTTTTGTCTTTTCTCGTGACTGGTAACAGGATTGCAACCCTTGGTGTCGTGCCCGTACCGCGACTGGCAACGGGATCGCAACCCTCGGTGTCGCACCCGCACCGTGCTCAACCAGTGAGCGGACCGGTCTCTATATGAGATCCGAACCCTCGGCGGGAGCGCCACCGTGCTCCCAAGCGCCGCACTCTACCGAGTGCACCACCGGGCCGGCCCTACGTCTTTCTTTCTGATCTGGATGCCTTTTCTTTATTTTTCTTTCCTGACTCCCCACGCTAGCACATCAGTGGATAGCAGTGATGCAAGTGGGCATCTTTGTCTTGTTCCTGACAAAGGGGAAAGCTCTCAGCCTGTCACCATTAGGTATCATAGTTGCCCTCTATCACATTGAGGAAGTTCCCTTCTATTCCTAGTTTCTTGGCTGTTTTTATCGTTAGACATTAACTTCCTAAAGGCTTTGTTTTACTTTTTAATACAGAAATTTTGGTGTGTGTTTTTTATTCTAACCAGTGCTGATTCCTAAAGAAAAGCCCCCAATCACAGTTGTTGGCGATGTTGGAGGAAGAATCGCCATCATTGTGGTATGTAGAGTTCTTTATTATTATTAATTTTAGTATTTGCCATTGTTATTCTGTTGGCTTATTTGTTATATGGATGTAAAAGGCCAAGGGATAGGGATATGGCTAGGTAAGTCTTAGTTAAGTTGGTGACTTGCTAAATGTTTACTTTGGCCCACAAATTGAAGAATGCTCTTATTGGTAAAAAATTGCCAACTTCTTAGTTAACTAAATATTGTGTAGCTGTTTATCATAACATGGGAAATTGTTTTGTTAAAAGTAGGGTATGAAGTTGATTTTACTGTTCAAAACATATCCTTTCACATGTCATAAAACCAGTGCACAAGAAGAGTAAACAATGCCTGTATAGTTTAAAGAATGGAATGAACACCTGGGAACCCACTGCTCCACTTGAGAGAGAGAACGTTGCCAGGTACCCTTGAAGCCTCCTCTGGGCTTGCCCTGGTCTCCTTCTCTCTTGCCCCAGAGGTGGTCACTAACCTGAGAGTTGTCTATTCATACCCTTATCTTTACACTCTACCATAAGTATATGTTCCCTTAATTGCTGTTTTGTTTTCATTGTTTTTGGCATTTGTATAAAAGACATCTTCGTGAACTTCCTGACTTTTTTGTTCAATACTGTTATTGAGGTCCACCCGTACGGTGACTTGTAGTTGAATGTCACTCTCTCACTGTTGTGTGGCATTCTCCAATGTAACCATCACACAACTGATTATCTGTTCTCCGAGCACTGAACATCAAGATTTTTTCTGTTTCTAAATAATGCTTCTTTGAACACACTTAACATTTATCTTCTGCTGCATCCATGCAAGAGTTTCTAAGAGCCTGGAAGTGGAGTTGTTGGGTCCCCACCCAATCCCCAGCTCCTGGTGTCTTCATCCATTTGTGCTGCTGTAACAGAATACCTGAGACTGGGTAATTGATAAAGAACAGAAAATTATTCTCTCACAGTTCTAGAGGCTGGCACTCTAAGATAAAGGTGCCAGCATTCGGTGTGGTGAGAGCCTTCTTGCTGAGTCCTCACGTGGCGGAGGCAGAAGGGCAAAAGGAGACAAACTGCGTCCTCACACGGCAGGAGAGCAGAAGAGAGAGAACCCACACCCACAGGCCTTTTTATGGCGACATCAATCCACTCATGAAGGCGGTGCCCTCCTGACCCGAACTCTTCCCATCAGGCCCCACCTCCTGACACTGTCGCTCTGGGGAGTAAGTTTCTAACACATGAAGTTTGGAGACAGAAAGGCATTCAGACCAGAGCACCTGGCAACCACTGATCTGCCCTCTGTCTCTATAATTGTTATTTCAAGAATGTTGTATAAATGTAATAGTATGTAATCTTTTGAGATTGATTTTTATTTTGCTTAACATGATTCTCTTGATCCATCCAATTTGTTTTGTATATTAATATTTTATTCCTTTTTATTGCTGAGCTGTATACCATGGTATGTAGATACCATTTAACTGTTGAAGGACATTTGGATTGTTTTCAGTTTGCAGCTATTACACATAAACTGCTATGCACATTCATGTCTGGATTTTTGTGTGAACAAAGTTTTAATTTCTCTGGGATAAATGCCCAAAGTGCAGTTGTTGGTTTGCATGGTAATTGCAAGTTTAATCTTATAAGAAACTGTTAAACTGTTTTCCAAAGTGGTTGTACCATTTTACCAGTAGCACTTTTAAGCTAATATATGTATCTTTTTATTATAATAATATCAGTGTATATTTGAAGAGTAATATATGTATGTAACATAAATATGCGAATATTTATTTAACTCTAGACAGTGTTTGATACCATTATGGGTTTAAAATAATTCTGGGAGCCTGGGAATCTGGTCTTTAGGTACAAACCACTGGACTGGATTGTTTTTAATTAAAAATCATTATTAATTAGTCATTATTATTAATCCTCATTGTTTTTCCCAAAGTAAGAACATACGTAAAAAGCATATTTCCTGTATGCTCAGTGGAGAAATTTTGGAAAATAAGGAAAAGTAGTAAGAAGAAAAGGGGAAAGAGCCACCAATAGTTCCATTACACAGAGTCAAAAGCATCCTCTTAACAATTTTTCTATGCATTTAAAAAACAATTATTCTGCAAACATTTCTGGAGCCACCTGAACTGTGCGGGCACAATTCTGACCAGTTGGGGTACAGAGATGGAAAGAGTGTCTCCCCCAGGGAGCCTGGAGTATGGTGGGAGACAGCCAACAATTTTTCTATGCATTTAAAAAACAATTATTCTGCAAACATTTCTGGAGCCACCTGAACCGTGCGGGCACAATTCTGACCAGTTGGGGTACAGAGATGGAAAGAGTGTCTCCCCCAGGGAGCCTGGAGTATGGTGGGAGACAGCTCTGTAAGGCGCAAGTGCTGTGCAGGAGGGACGTGTGGGGGCATGGTGACGGGGACAGGGGACCATGCCATCTGCACATTAAAACTGAACAGCAAATTGGTTACAGTAAATTTAGACAGACCTTTTCTTTTTCGCAGTTGTCTAACCCATCTTTGCAAAAGTGTTCATGAGCCTTTTGCTCCACCTATGATTTGGCAGGATGACATCATTGATGACGTTGACAGCTTTCTTGCTGCAGCAGAGACACTGAAGGAGAGAGGTGCATACAAGATCTTCGTGATGGCAACTCATGGCTTGTTATCTTCTGACGCACCCCGGCTGATTGAAGAGTCTGCCATTGACGAGGTAACAGGCCTGCCATGTGTGGGCACACCCTAGTCCTCAATAACAGAGAGTAGGTGCAAAAGTGAGCTCTTTCGTAGTTAAGAATGGATTAAGAATGGGTTATATTTGCATTTTGTTGAATGTAAGCCTCTATCTCTACCACTTTTTCAAAAATAAAAGCTGTATTGAGATGTAATTCACATGCTATACAATTCACCCACTGAAAGTATGCAATTCAGTGGTTTTAGAATGTCCAGAGTTGTGCAGTCATTACCACAGTTGATTTTAAAACATCTTCATCTCCCCCAAAAGAAATCCCATATGTATTAGCAGTCACTGCATTTTCTCTCAGTCCCTCCAGCCTCTGGCAATCACTGATCTCTTTTCTATCTGTATGGATTTACCTATTCTGGACATTTCATATAAATGAGATCATACAATATGTGATCTTTTGTGACTGACTTCTTTCACTTAAGCATAGTATTGTCAAGGTTCATTCATGTTGCAGCATGGATCAATACTTCGTTCCTTTTTATGACCAAATAAAATTCTGCTGTATGGATATACCACATTTTGTCTCTCTCTCCATAAAATTGATGGAAATTTGGGTTGTTTCCACTTTGTAACTATTATGAATAATGCTGCTGTGAACATCTCGTGTATTAGTTTTTGTGTGGACGTGTGTTTTCAGTTATCTTGGTTATATACCTAGGAAGAGAGTAGTTGGGTTACATAGTAACGCTATGTTTAACCTTTTGAGAAAATGCCAGACTCTTTTACAAAGCAGCTGAACCATTTTACATTCTCACCAGCAGTGATTGGGGGTTACAGTTTCTACACATTCTCACCAGCACTTATTATCTTTTTGGCTATAGTTGTCCTAGTGGGTGTGAGCTTATCAAATTTTAACTTAAGAAACACAGGTAGCTAATGTTGTCTGGAAATGTTGAAGGTAGGGTAGACCTGCTGTCCTGTCAGAACCTTGGGGGCCGGCCTGTGGCTCACTCGGTAGAGTGCGGTGCTGATAACACCAAGGCCACGGGTTCGGATCCTATATAGGGATGGCCGGTTTGCTCACTGGCTGAGCATGGTGCTGACAACACCAGGCCAAGGGTTGAGATCCCCTTACCGGTCATCTTTAAAAAAAAAAAAAGAAGAACCTTGGAGGTTCGAGAATGTATCACGTTCAGATCAAACCGTGAAGTTGCTTGGCTTTCTGATGCTCTTAGGGTTTTTTTCTGTTGATTCACAGGTGGTGGTTACCAATACAATTCCACATGAAATCCAGAAACTCCAGTGCCCCAAGATTAAAACAGTGGATATCAGCATGATCCTTTCAGAAGCCATTCGTCGGATTCACAATGGGGAGTCCATGTCCTACCTTTTCAGAAACATAGGTTTAGACGACTGAACAGCTTTCCTGTTTTTTAAATTCCCGAGGGCCAAACTGGAAATGTGGGAGTGAGTGCTGTGAGGGTCCTGTGTGATCAGATGTGCTTCACAGGAGCTGTGTGTTCTGCTCCTCCTTCCCCACGCCCTCCCTTCTTGATGATTCCTATGAAGATAGACCAACTTTTTATGTCGGTTTGGGTGTTTGTGAGTTTTGGGGACAATTTTTATAAAAGAAAAACTTGGTTCTCAAATAAAATCTGGTTGTTTTTAGTTTAGGTATTTAAAAAACCTCTTGGAATAAGATTTTTAAGCTCACAAATAGCCTTTTTCCAAAGTTGCTTGAGCCAAGTGCTTAAAAATTTAATAAAATAAAATGATCTACTGTATGATACCTGCAATTGAAAAACCAGAAAGATTGTACTGTCAAATCCATTAAATAATGTTTTTAGAAATGGTTTTCTAGACAAGCATATGGAATATGTGGTCCTATTTATTTTCTGCAGCAAAAGAAGGAATGAAAACTTTTGTTTGTGTTTTTTAAAACTTTGTGTTTGGGTAATTGTTTTATAACTAAAATAAAATGAAAGGTGAATATACATGGTGTGGATGCTGAAGTGTCATCAGCTTGTTAAGTTTTCTCTTTTACAGCTTTTAGTGGGAACACAGTAGCCTCTTAGGGATGTAATGTTCCCTGTTCTGACAATTTGTCAAAGACCCTGAAAGTGCATGATGCTTAGTCATTTGACTGGGGCAGCAGTGGGGTTTGAGTCTTGGTGTGAGTGTGAGCAGGTCAGTGAGCAGGTACAACGGGCCATCCACCTCTGGTGTGGACTTGCTCTCACTTCTTTTTAACTGTATGTGGGATCCGAACCCTCGGCGGGAGCACCACCACACTCCCAAGTGGTGCACTGTAGCAGTGCGCCACCGGGCCGGCCCCTAAATTTATTTTTTAATTGAAATGTAATTGATTATACATATTGGGTGCAGAGTCGACTGTAAGTATTTATGTACAATATGTGATGATCAAATCAATATTATTAGCATGTTCATCATTACAAATCGTAATTATTCATTGTGTCCCTTACCCAGTTTCTCCCTAACTCCCGCCACCCCTTTCCCAAATCTAGGAACCATAGGTCCATTCTCTCCTTCTGAAAGTTCACTGTATTATTGTGGTCTTTCTTTCTCTTCCTCTCTCTCTCTCTCTCTCTGTCTTTCTCGCTGTTTCTCTTTCTTTGTTCCCATTTATGAGTGAGGACATGTGGTATTTTCCCTCTCTCTGCCTGGCTTATTTCACTTAACATAATTTTCTCCAAGCTCATCGTGTTGCTGTGAATGGCAGAATTTCATTCTTTTTAATGGCTGAGGAGTATTCCATTGTGTATATATATACCACATTTTCCTTATCCGGTTGTCTTTTGATGAACATTTAGGTTAGTTCCATATCTTGGCTATTTAAATAGAGCTGTAATAAACATGGGAGTGCAGATATCCCTTTGACATGAGGATTTCCATTCCAGTGGCATTGCTGGATTGTGTGGCAGGTCTATCTGTAGTTGTTTGAAGAACCTCCATACTGTTTTCCGTAATAGCTGCACTAATTTACAGTCCCGACAACAGTGTAGGAGGGTTCCCCTTTCTCCACATCCTCACCAGCATTTGTTATTCTATCTTTTTGATAATGGCCAGTCTAGCTGGGGTGAGATGATATCTCAGTGTGGTTTTGATTTGCAGTTTCCTGATGCTTCATGATGTTGAGCATTTTTTCATGTACTTGTTGGCCTTTGAAAAATGTCTATTCAGCTCCTTTGCCCATTTTTAAATTGCCATTTGTTTTTTTACTGTGAGGTCATTTTGAGTTCCTTGTATATTCTGGATGTTAATCCCTTGTTGGATGCATAGTTTGCAAATATTTTCTCCCATTCTGTAGGTTGTCTTTTTACTCTGTTGATTGTTTCCTTTGCTGTGCAGAAGGTTTCCTGTGCTGTGAGATAATCCTACTTCTTTGTTTTTTCTTTTGTTGGCTGTGCTTTTGGAGTCTTATTCATAAAGTCTTTGCCCAGTCCTACATTCTGAAGTGTTTCCCCTGTTTTTTCTAGTTTCAGGTCTTAAATATTTAAGTCTTTAATCCATTTTGAGTTGGTTTTGGTATATTTTGGTATATGGCAAGAGGTATGGGTCTATCCATTCTTCTGTGCATGGGTATCTAGTTTCCCAGCACCATTTACTGAAGAGGCTGTCCTTTCCTTAGTGTATGTTTGTGATGCATTTTGTCAAAGATCAGTTGGCTCTAAGTGTTTGGGTTGATTTTGGGGTTCTCTACGTTGTTCCATTGGTCCATATGTCTATTTTTATGCTAGTACCATGCTGTTTTGGCTACTATAGCTTTGTAGTATAGTTTGAAGTCAGGGAGCGTTATGCCTCTTGTTTTTTTGTTTTGTTTTGTTTTTGCTCAGGATTGCTTTGGCTCTTTTGGGGTCTTTTGTTGTTATATATGAATTTTAGAATTGGTTTTTTTTCTATTTCTGTGCAGAATGTCATTGGTATTTTAATGGGGATTGCATCGAATCTGTATGTAGATTCCTTTGGGTGGTATGGACATTTTCACAGTGTTAATTCTTCAAATCCAAGAGCTTGGAATGTCTTTCCATCTTTTTGTGTCCTCTTTAATTTCTTACAGCAGTGAAAAGTGATTTGTAGTTCTCATTGTAGAGATTTTTCACTTCTTTGGTTAAATTTATTCCTAGATATTTTATTATTTTGGTAGCTAGTGTAAATGGGCTTGCTTTCTTGATTTCTTTTTCTGCTTGTTTATTATTGGTGTATAAGAATGCTACTGATTATTGTGTATTGATTTTTTTTTTCCTTGTTGTCTTTTTTACTGACCGGTAACGGGATCGCAACCCTCGGTGTCGCGCCCGTACCAGGGACCGGCAACGGGATCACAACCCTCAGTGTCGCGCCCGCACCGCGCTCAGCCAGTGAGCAGGAACTGGTCTCCACATGGGATCCTAACCCTCGGCGGGAGCGCC